AAAATAATGAATAGAGCATATATAGGCTACAACAAGGTTTAATCTGGCCGCAGAGGAACACAACTGGGTTGCCTGACATAAAGACACGTAATCCCCGAAACAGAGCTTCACACTTGCGCAATATGGAAATATCTGCTAAGTGTGTTACTTATCTTTGTCAACCTGGCAGCCGTGCACGTGCTCTCTCTCCACTGTGGATAAACGCGCTTGCTTTCTGAAAACACCGCTTAGCTTGCAGTTTAGCGAGCTCCACTTCAATATTCTCAGAAAATTTTAATTCATCGAGTGTTCATTTATGAGAGAGAGAAAGAGAGAGGCTGTGTATGTATGAATTACCACCGTTTTGCCGCGTTTCTCTATTAACAGTAAAGCCGTGGCTTTAATTCCTTTAGAAACAATGATGCTACCAGCTCCTTGTTGAAAAAGATAATGTAGCTCTTGAGCGATTAAGCTATTTAGTTGATAAAACTGCGGGGCAGCGCAAAAAAGTTTGTTCCTGAATGTCTGAGTGCGGCCGCAACGTGATCTGTGTGTGTGTGACTGAACTTAACTTAACTGCTCCTGTTTCACACAAATGCTGGCACAGACGTGCACGTTCGGCTAGAGTCGCTTTGAACTCGTTCATCTTCGGAAGCGGAGCTGCGCAGAAAGTCCTGCCGCGCGCAAATACACATTTTTTTGGCGGGGTTCTCCTCTGATTATCATTGTGTTCAAGGAATCACCAGATTTGTCTGTGATACATTACTCAACGCAGCAAAAACACGTTGTAAATAAGTTAGAAACCTTTGAAGCTCTCCTGAGCGCAAACACAAATATGCTGATCGGGTCAGTCGCACTGGTGCTCCTAAATATTTTTTTTTCATAGTCGCACGCAGTAATTTTCATTCGCAAATGCACTGCTTCTCCATAGGTTCATGCAGGGCTGCGCATCAGCATCAAGTTTTTTTCTCGCGCTACCCTATCTCAACCCCCAATCATTAGCGCAGTTTCGTTTGTATTCGACAGCGCATATAGGACAATTTTTGAAATAGCACCATTCTACTAAACAAAATGTATTTGAAATTTAATTCAAGCACTTTCAAGGACTTATATTTGTTTTCAAGTACTTTCCAGGCCTTGAAACCATGCGTCTGATATTCAAGTACTTTCAAGAAGCGTGGGAACCCTGGACATGGAATGATTTAACCCGCAGTTACAAAAATGCATAAATAATGTTTTGCTATTTGAAATGATACAAAAAATTAAAAAAATTAAACAGTTGATTCATTCAGGAACGAAACACATCATGGTTGTTTAGAAACGCAAAACAGTGCTGTGGTTCTGTTTGGAATTATTTTTGTAAGCGAAATAGAGCAAAAACAGGCAATATGGTGTCTAAAACGTAAGTCTCTTAATATTAACTTGTTTATTGAACTGTTGTATAAAATCAATATCACATTTGTAATCATGCTGATTTTTGGAGAAAAAAACGTCTCTCTTCGCGTGATATTAACTATATGAAATATATATATATTTTCAGTGAAAGAACGCACTCTAAATGTGCATGCGCACTAGTCTAACCCACTAGACTTCATCACGTCAAGCATGCGTGCACTCTGTAGGTGTGTTTTGTTTGGTTGTTTGTAATATACTAGATAATGTCAAATCACACATCGTTAAAACAACAATTATGATATTATCGCAGATGATATATATCGCACACCCTAATATAAACACGATTAATGTAACCTATTTAAAGAAAAAATATGTTTTGTTATAGCTTTTGGAGCAAGGGCTCCGCCATCTTGCAATACTACAGTGTGTGACGTCACGGTGTTGGTTTGCTCCGTTGGCCAGTGAAGTAATATAAGCATTTCTTTACTTTTTGAACACACAAATGTTATTTTAACACACAAATGTTTTTGGTTTTCACCATAATTTGGATGAATATCCAACATCAAACTGTCTACAACACAAAGTTTTGATCATGTTATCCCAAACATTGTTTTCATAACGTGAGGGGCAACATGATGTAAACAAACGCTTCATACAATGTTGTTCATGTTGCATCTTATTGTTATGTCAGACATTTAAGACATATTTTCATGACTAGAAATCAGTGGTTAAGTTGTATTTACAACACTGTTCCAGAACAGTTCAAACC